CATTGAGACAAAAAAAAAACCAACCCTAAATCCACACAATTCATGACTTGGCATTTATAACAACTCAATAAGCCCTTCCACCACACACAAACATACATGCAATGCAACTTTTTGCGATAACTTCTTCGTAAAGAAATAAGGTTCCCAATTAATCCATGCAGCAAATATGACTATATGAGTTGGTTTTTAGACATTGGAATCACTTACATAATTTCAGAGACGACCAAGCTGCCATGGCTGCATTCTTTTCAGCTTGCTTCTTATTCTTTGCTGGCTCGCCAGTAAATGTGACGCCTGCCAACTCTACCGTGCAGGTAAAGACAGGAAGATGTCCTAGACCAGATCTAAAAGTCGTATATGCTGGCAATGATGCTCCTACTCTTTGTGAAACTTCCTGTAACAGATTCTTATACACCCCTGTCTCATCCTGCATATCAGTGTTCAAAGAATCAGAAACCAAAATGCCAAAATAATCATGAGCCTTCTACTGTCACAACTAAGTGTAAGAACCATATATTAATTTAAAATAATTAGTCATTGCATGAAATCCATGGAGGCTATAATTTGTGATTACAAATGTTGGACTTACTTGCACCTGCACAGTCATTTTTACTGCATATTTGTGATAATTGTCAGGGAAATTCAGATTAGTTTTGGGATTAAGTTCACCTAACTACAAAATTGAGCACGATACAGAAATGATGCAGCAATACACGATGAGACCAATTACCTACAGACATTGGCACTATCCTCCAAAAGTTCTGGACTCAAAAAATCTAGCAAAAAAGTTTTTATAAAGAAAAACTGTAGGTAGTGATCAATAAACAAAAGTACATTAATGGTTTGAATCCTGTCAGAAGTAACATTAGGTGAATTCTCCCATAACCTTGGTTGGCAGAGTTACTGGTACCGATATTGTTGGAAGGTAGCAGGTATCCCATGCAAGATATCCTAGCCACTACAATTATATAAACCAGAAAGAAAAAACTAAAAGTATATAAACAATCGCTACCTCACTTTTTTTCCCCTCAAAAATAGCCCTACCTCACGGCTCACACGACTACACTTATTCCACCATCTTAGTCTAGAAGACCAATATTTGCTGGAACTCTAATCGAAAAGTCACTAATGCATATATATTAAGGCAAAGGATTTCAGTTAAATACACTGACTGCGTAAAAACTATCTTCACCTTTGATAGCAGGTTAATTATCATTTTCACCAAATTACCGAATAGTGCTTATCAATAGATTTACCTTTAATTAACTAATAAATGACATGATTGTGTAAAAAAAAAAATACTCGCAAGCAAAACCTCCTAAATAGAACATAAAAAAGACATTCATTTAAGCAAAATCAATCGCAAAAGGCAAAGTGTAAAAAGTCCATCTCAAACAAATGATGGGGGAAAACCCCCTAACATTTTGCCACAGAAATCAGAAAAAGAAAATACCAGAATTCTAGCAGCAAGCGAGTAGGAAGGACCGCGATTAGCGAGTGCATTTAATGCCACCTCAGCAGCAGAGTGCTCAGCCTGGCGAAGTGTAGAGCAGTAATTCGGGCTCTCAAATATTTCGCCATTGAAGTTAACAGTAGCCTTGAACCGCGGCGCGTGATCCGGACCTTCTCTAATACAAGTGTAAGACGGCAAGTTGAAGCAGCTCCTTTGTGCCAGCTCCTGCAGCTGGTTTTTGTACATTTCTTCTAGAACCTTCCCAAAGCACAAAAATACTCAGGAGCAAGGATCAAAATGAAATCAGCTGAGATCAATGAAGTGAATCGGAGCTCCGTTTCCTCTCGCCGGCGACATGGAGAACGATCGTCGGAGGAGGATCGGAAAGTTGTTAGGGTTTTGAATGTATAAAATGTGAGTGTTGTATGTAATGATTTTCTAGAGAGAGAAGGCTAAATATCAGAGGTTTTACTGAGAGAGAGATGTTGAGCTTTTTCTTCGTAAGCTAGAATAAAAATGTAGCCTTTGCTTTTTGTTCGCATTCATTAGATTGTGCATTAATTCTCTGCACGCGTCCACATGACAAGTTACAGAAGGATAAATTTGGATCAGTTTAATTTTATATGGTTTGTTGACTAGATATAAAATTCAAAAAAAATATCCGTTAAAAAAATACATGTTAAAAGCACCATTATAATGTGTGATTTAAGCATGAAATGATATTTTTATAATTATAAGAAGATAATATTGAGGATAATTGAAAAAAATGTAAGACTAAACAGTTTTCATATATCAAATGGTGTTTCTTTTAAACAGATTAAAATAGAGGACAACATAATATAATATTGAAAAAATATTCGTTGAATAATTGAAGGCAATATGTGTTGAAAATTTTATTCCACGAGATGAATGTAGTTTTATCGGCATGAATAATAATTTCGATCTTACTAGAAGTGACAATAATTATTCATAAGAACAAAATGAATTGCGTTGTTAAAGACTTAGAGTCCGTTTCGATTGGTTTATTTTAATTATTTTTAAACCAAAATGATTTTTAAGCAGTTTTGTAATATTTGGATAAAATAAAAAAATACTTTTAAGTAGGGGTGTCAATGGATATTTGAAAACGATCGAACCGTACCGTACCAAACTGATTTTTAGGTTTCTTTTAATGAAACCGTAGTTTTTTATATAAATCTATAACCGTACCGATAATTAGGGTAGGTTTTTTATTTTATAAAAATAAACCGAAAAATACCAAACCGTACCGATTAAATTTTATATGTGAAAAATATATTTAAAGAGTAAGTTTAAAACTAATAAAGCATTAAATTTTTTATTGGGCCTTGAAATTATGAAAATTGTTACAAGCCAACAAGTAATTGAACTCAAAATACTAATTCCTAAAACTTATTATGCCACTTATACTTAAACTAAGTTATTCCGAGTATCTTTGTTAGCAAGACACAAAGTATTCTAGCGATTATGAGTAGTAAACTGCAATGTATTGAATATGTTTCCTTTCATATAATTTAGATTTATCTTTTTGAATATTTAATATAGAATTTATTCTTGAGTCCCAGCTTGATTAATATCTTTCCACTCGTGTGATTTATATTTTCTTTGTTTTTACTTGGTTTCTTTTACGTTGCTGTAAAATAGTTGATGGATACTCTAGTCATCTTTCATGTTTTTTTATTAATTCATCACTTTTAAACAGTAAAAATATCTATAGAGTTTTGCTAAGTCATATAAAAGAACGTATGTTATTGTATTCTACTTCTACTGGTAAATTTTACATGACATTTAAAAAAATACCGAAAATTAACCGAACCGTACCGATACCGAAGTGAAACCGACATGATTGAGACGGTTTCGAAAAGTCTAATTTTGGTTATACATAATAGACGACGAGCAACCCCTCTTGTTTGGTTATACATAATAGAATAACTGAAAAATGGGTATGGTATAAATTTTATAAAATAACCGGCTGAACCGAACCATTGACACCCCTATTTTTAAGCACTCGTTTTTAAGCTAAAATAACAAAAATAAGCCAAAAGCTAGAATTTCTAATTTATTGCTTTTGACTTAAAAATCACTTACAACAAGTCAATTCAAACAGGCTCTTAAAGTTATATGTCAAAAGTGCATAATTAAAATTTACTTTTTTCAATGGAGATGATGGTAAGAAAATGTGGATCTCTATTAATAGTATAAATAATTTTTATATAATATAATTTTTTGAAGAATCGGTGAATACTTTGCTAGGAAAAAGGGTTTGTCTTAGTTTAATTAAATATTGGAAGTTACTTTCTTTTTTTGAATTGTCAACTTGCACTTGCCATTAATAAATGATGTGTAGTTGGTTTTAAATAAATTTAATAGGGTAAAAAGATATCATGTTCTTTCCTGTTTTGCGTATCAAAAGTAAATTCGTTGGTTATTAATGAGAGGCTAGGGGTGGATAAACAAGGGAAAGAGATACTTATTAAATAACTCACCTGCCCTCCTTTTATTTTGTTAGATTATTACTGATATAACAACACCTTAATAAATGAACAGAGGAAAAAGTTGAAATGGGTTCCTCCTAATCTGAATTCTGAATGCAGCCAACTTCAAGCTTTTCCTCGTGTATATATATACTAGCGGAAGTAAAGCACGGGTCCAACATAGTACTACGAGATTTTTTCTTTTCTATACCATGTGTGAAACTTTATTATCAAATATTTGTATAGTTTCTAATTTACCCGTCATGTTCACACCTTTCTACAATTATTATATCATTCATTAAATACTAATTATTAGTAACTGAATCTTACTAATTAGGCGCGCTACAAATCAGGAACAAAATATTCTAATTGATTTAGCGACCTTCAGATCAAATTTGAAACGGAAATCCTTTATTTTCAATTTAAAATCAAATTACATAGACTCTTTTCTGCAAAAACTCTGTTCTTCGATATTTTCCCTTAAGCCACAAATCCAAAAGACAAAATCGTCAACAAATTCGAATCAAATTGTAGAAATCAGTTCTGCAAAAGCTCAGATCGTCGACTTTTTTCCTCAATCCACTGATCAAAGAAGCGACAAAATATTCAACAAATTCAAGTCAAATTGTAGAAATCAATTCTAGCGATTCTCTGTTTTGTCTTTTTTTATTAATCCAAAAAATCAAAAAAGCGACAAAATATTGAACAATACCTCAGCAACGACACGCAATCATGTCCAAAATCCCACTCATGCTACAATTAAATGGGAATTGGGATAGCTATGACATATTTAGAGATTTTCAAGTTGATGGCATTGTGCTCGATGAGGATGCAAGTTACCGTATGTTGATTTCTACAATTGCAGAGCAATTAATGATTGATACTTCGAAAAAATTGTAGAAATCAAATACATTGTGAATGAGAACTGTCCTCCAATGGAGATTAGGAACAATATGGGGGTTCGTGTGTATATGGAGACAAAAAAGGAGAATAAAAACTTAGGATCGTATCCGTTACTTATAAGTGTACGAGATTTCAATATGGAATTGACTATTACAAATGAGAACACAAGTGCAGGTTTGTTATGTTTCAAATTCTATGGAAGTCTGATTTTACGGTAATATCTATAAAATTCCTACATTTATCTAGAAATAAACTACACATCAGTTTTAAGATGTATAAAGTAATATTGTTTCCATGATTATCTACAAAATTACTACATTTATACTACTACTAAACTACAATATATGTTGAAAAAATGTTGACTACAAAATTTTCTTTTCATCGACAATTTATCTACAAAGATTCTACAAAATTGTAATGACACTGTTTATCTTTATTTTCATGAAGGTTCGTCTGGGACAATACAGTTACTTGATATGCCAGCATCTCCCGTCATAGAGGAATATCAAAGTGAAATAATAACTGAAGGTACACAAAGTGTCATCGAAGAAGGACAAATGTATGAAGACAAGCAAACAATTGCAACTGCAATGAAGCACTGTTTTTCCATGCACAAGTTCCAATTCAGGGTTAAAAGATCTATCCACAGAAGGTATGAAGATATTAATGGTGAAAAGATCATTATAAACAGTATTTTCCTTGTGATATTTAGATGAAAAGTGGTTATATTGTATAGTGTGTTACTTTATGCTAAAACAGTCCTTTTGTTACATCTATATTGATAACATGTATTATAAATGTATTTTTTTGTAGCTACTGGCTTATATGCGTTGGAGAAACCTGTAATTGGCACTTCAAGGCAATATCAATTAATGATTCTGCAATGTTCAAGATCAGGAATTTCAACTGACAACACACATGCACCTTAATGGACGATACATTCATACATCACAAACGTACTGCAGTTGTAGTTGGTAGCATAGTCATGCCAAAGTATTGTGATCCTAAGACAGTTTACACACCAAAGGACATACAAACTGACATGTTGTCCCAACACGGAGTGAACCTAAGCTACATGCAAGCATGGAGAGCAAAGGAAAAGGCTTTACAGTTTTTGAGAGGTCATCCGGCTTATTCTACAACAAATTACCAAAATATTTTTATATTCTTGAGAAGACGTATCCTGGTTCAGTTGTTAAATTGAAGAAGACAACAGATGAATGCTTCTTATATGCATTTGTTGCTCTTTGTACATCAATAAGTGATTGAGAATATTGTAGACCAATAGTAATGGTTGATGGGACATTCTTAAAGACAACCTACAGGGGGATTATGCTGACAACAAGCACAATGGATGCAGCAGAAAAAATTGTAGTTATTTTGTAGACAATTTATAAATTGTAGATACATTGTAGATATATTGTAGTTTATATGTATTTGTGTTTTTATATGCATTTTCAAAGCTGCCAGTTAATTATTTTTTTACTAATAATGTAGGTACAATATTGCTTTTGGCATATGCTGTGGTTGATTCGGAAAACGACGCATCGTAGAAGTGGTTTTTTGAGCAATGCAAGCAAGCATATGGTGAAAGAACTTCAATGTGTGTTGTTTCAGATAGGAATGAGAGTATCCTGAAGGCAACATCAATTGTCTATCCGGGCGTGCCACACTACTCTTGCATTTGGCATATTTGGACAAATATAAGGGCAAAGTTCAAGAAGGGTCATCTACAATTAAATGAATTGTACTTTGCTACAGCAGGGTCATACACTCTGGATGAATTTAATGAAAGGATGTCGAAGATTGAAGAGATAGACCCGCGTGTTAAATCATACCTCTATGATATTGGCTATCATAGATGGTCAAGAGTACATGCAATGGTGAATAGAACTTGGACTATGACATCAAACATTGCAGAGTCGTTGAATGCTGTAACAAAAGATGCAAGAGAGCTGTCAATATTTGACTTATTAGAGTATATATATGAGGACACTTCTTGAACGTTGGACGAAAGAGAAGTTATTGAAGGCAAAGGGTACTTTCACATTCCTTAAAAACAATATATTATCTCAGAAACTTAGGGTAAGATCTGTTTATTTGGTACAGAAAA